CAGCTGAGGATGGGGCAGGGCTGGATGGTGCTCCTGGTGCACTTGAAGAGCCTTTGGCCCCAAATGGCCTTTGCAGAAAGGTGAAAATAGTCTTTGGAAGACAAGTGCAGCAGCTGTGCTGGGGAGGGTGGGGGAGATGTGCAGGACAGTTTTTCTGCCTATCAATATTTCCTTTAATGCCAGATCACCTCAGGCAATGCTAATCAACAACTCACCTTCTCTTTCAAAGCATCTGTGCTGCTGGTGGCTGGTAATCCTTTTTTAGGGACAGTAATCTAAAGTTGCTGTGGATGAGGAAAATTATCAGGAGACTCAGAAACCATTTTTTTCCTTTCAGTTTTGGGGGTTTCTTGTACCAGAAAACCGCTGAGAAACCTTAAAGAGAAAATGGAGAGCATGCGGACAATGGGAAAGGTGATCGGAAATGGGAGACTTGAACTTAAAATATTCAAATATGCCATACCATAAGCTCTGAAGAGGGTGCCAAAGTGGTACCTGAATTATTTATGATCTGAGAGACAGGAAAGTGAGGCCAGTGTAGGAAGGAAGCACAAGTTATTTGAAGTTTGTTGGTGTTGTGCAGCATTTGGAAGAATTATTGTTTGTGGTATTTTGAACTAGATACAGGCATTAAGAAGAATTAATTATTTGGCAGAAAGATGGTCTAAATAGATTACTTCTGTCAGAATCTGATTAGAGCATACATCATTGATTGGCTGATGACTGCATTGCGGGGATCTGCCTTTTCCAGGCATTGTGGCCCCAGGGAAGTTGCTGAAGTCTTTTTTTCTTTTCTTTATTTTTTCCCACCTTGTACCATAGCAAAACTTAGGCATCTGTTTTTGCCTGGGGAAGTATTTTGGTCATTGTCTAATGTGCCATTTACAGCTTATATGCAGGTGGAATCAAAAATCTGATCTTTCTTGCACCATTTTAATTTTTCTTGTTCTTCCTGAATGTGTAGTCCAGTTTCCAGGCATATTTCTAGTTTTATTTCTGTATCTGTGCATCTATACTGTACAGCAGTCTCCATTTCCTTCCCATTTAAATGATTTTTTAGAAAACCTTCAAGGAAACTGCTATTAGAGCACTCCTGTCAGTACTTCAGCTCTGTGCTAAAGCATGAGATTTTGGTATTAGATTGCTGGCCCTGAAGTACATATAAATTTTGTGACCACCTACTCCTACCCTGCCTTGCTTAAGCTATGTTCTTCACCTTTAAAAACAGCTTTTCATTAATAAAACCTGCCTTTTGCAAAATTCTGCATAGTTGAAACAAATAAGATTGTGCATTTTATTTGTGTATATACATTTTACATCTAAAGCCAGCGTTCATGTGCTTTTCTTGTTCATTCTGCCTCTGTCATTGCTGAAATCAATTTTTAGTTTCAGAAAATCTATTACAATTTTTAATGAAAGAAACCAAAGCCAACTAGGGCTTGGGAACAGCTGAAAGCAGTGTGATCTCTATGAGCATACTGAAACTGGCTTAACACGGCTCTTTTTTTTTTGTTTTTTATTAACAGTATTATAATTTTTTAGAATGCAATGGAAATGAAAGCTGTGTAGTTGTTTAAAATAGATGATGTCCCCTTTTCCACCCACTCACAGAGTGAATTTTTTGCAGGGAGGAGGAGCCCTGCAGCAGTGGGCAGGAAATGGGTGCTGGCACCACCAGGGACATCAGAGAGGTGCTTGATGTGCATGTCCTGACCATTCTGGCTTTGTCCTCCCACAAGTGTTTAGGTCCGTGCTTGACCTTAATCGTGCTGAAGTGAAGCAGAACTCTGAGCTTCACCAATACTCTTCTGGCTCATTCTCTCAGTCCTCAGCACTCTCAGTGGTCAAATTTCATCTATTCAACACATTGCAGCAGAACAGGAGTGACCATTGATACTAATGGCCAACTGCAAAACTCAAGTGAAATTTCCTTTTGGTGTGGCTGGGAAGGGAGAGGAAATGTGTTGATCTGAGGTGGTGGAGCTGATGTAGAGGCATTGGCAGAATTTCTGATCCTGGCCTGGGGCAGAGACGTGAGTAAAGCTCTGTTGTGCTTCTGTGGTTTTGATTCAGAGGTTTGTGAGACCTTAGGTAGCTGATGCACACATGGGACATCACCCCAGAGCCCAGCCACCAGGGCAGAGCTTGCATCTGGAGTGCCCCACACACAGACATTTAGAAGCATGTTGTTATAGTGAGGCAAGCAAAGTGTCCTTGCATTAAAACAGGTAATTATGATTTATTTCCAACGTTTGTTTTTGTGTATTGCTATCTGCGCTGTAGGAAATGGCAATGCTTCTCAGATATTTGATGTTTGTGTTATTCTGCAATGTTTATAGTGTTTGCAAAGGGCTGGAAGTGTCCTCCTGGAAGCTGCTGAGTTCACACTACCACTGCTATTTGCATCATATTCTGTTATAAGCCACCCTTTTCTGTTACTGTGGATTTGGAAGGCTGTTCTAGACCCTCACTAGACAAGACCAAAATACTTCAAAAAAAACCCCGAACTTGGAAAAATATGTTCAGCCTAAATTTATTCATAACTAGGTTTTTCTGGATTTTTAGAGTGTCAGGATTGTCCTTAGCTTAGTTTCTTCCTCCTACTGTTTTCTTCCTTATTCACAGATTGCGTTGCTGGGATAAACAAATCAAATTTGGATTTCTGTTGCAACAGAGTTGTTCCATTCCCCTGAACACAAAAAGGAATTTATCTACAATGGTTGTATTTGAATTTGGCCTTTTATTTTTGTGTTTAATGTGGATGAAGAGAACTGTATTCTGTTGGAAGTACCTCTAAGAAATCAAGAAATAATTAAGAATTAAAATTAAGAAATACTGATGATTTTCCTTTTCCTGTTTGCATCTCACTAGCATCTCAAATTCTTTAAACAGATGCAATGAGATCTTGCTTTTCTTCCTCCTGAGTTTAGCTCTGAAGTTTCTGTCATTAGGAGGAGCATGATCTTGCATTTTGTGTTATTGAATTTTGATTAATGCAGCCCATAAGATTTAGCAGTTCATTCTATGTAATATCCTTATCCTTTCCAGTTTTGACAGTACCTTCCAACTTTGTGTCATCAGGAAATTTCATCAGCAGGTTGCCTTGTGCCAAAATAATTAAAGAAAATGTTCAAAAAAATCTGTCCCAAAATAGATTACAGAAAAGCTTCCCTTGAGCCTGCGCTTTCCTGTGCAAATCTTCCTCCTCAGGTTTTTCTAACATCTTATCAAATATATACATGCTGAAACAAAAAAACCTGCCAGGTATTTTAAGGAGCAATTTAACAGTCTGTATTTATGTCAGTTGTCCCACTGGAGTCATTTGAGTAAAGCTTGCAGAATCCATTTTATAATCTCCATTCCTGGGTGAAAGAAATCTGCTTTCTTTTCAAATGCAGCTCACTCTGTTAGATGAAACAAATAAGGAAAATTAAAATGAACTTTTATTTTTTTTTTAGAAATTAAGTATTTTTAATAAGTGAGTTGTGACTGCACACTCTTTCTCATATATACCTTTTGTTTATGTATTTCTCTATGCAAGTTAGTGGCTGGTTTCGTATTGGAATTAATGACAGTCTTTTGGAAAAAAAAAAATCTATGATGTGTCAGCTTGCTCAGTAATTAAACTGCAGAGTTTCTCTTCCTTGGTAAGATAAGACCAAGAAATAGGATTTATAGCTGAGCATGGTCAGATAAGCAGTGAGAGCAGCATCATCCCCAAGAGCCAAGTGAAGCAGCTCTGAAACAGGAGCTGGAGCGGGGTAAACATCTCTCCATCATGTGACAATCGCTGGCCTCGCTGGCAGCTCCTGCAGGGAGCATCACCGAGGGTCACAATTCCACATCTAAAGTTAGCAGAGGGGTAAGGCTGGCACTGGGGAGGGCCAGCAGGCAGCTGCTCAGGGAGATTTCCAAATCCTGCAGCACGGCCGCCCCAGTACGCGCGAATCAATTACCGCGAACCTTCCGCGATGGCAAAAATGTGACATTAAATAATTGAGTATCACATCAAATCTTGTCTGCAATTAGTTATCTGGAAAAGTAATTATGCAACGAAATCAAGTAGCTGAAATTAGTGGTGTGAAGCACCCTAATAATTTGAAGACTGTAGGAGATTTTTTTTTTTATTTCGCTTGTAACATGGAGTTGTAAGTACCTAACTAATTCCTTATTGAAATAAAAAAGTCTTGCTCAATTGTAATTCTTGTCATTAGTTACATCTGCAATAGAAGATACATAGCACATAAAACAGGTGTTAATGACTAAGTTGGTTTTGTCTAAAGTAAAAATGAGGTGTGGAATAGAGTGTCTTGCAAGCAGTGCATTTGAAGTCAAATCTGTTGTGATTTAGTGAGGAAACCAGCCTAAATTTCAGTCCTTTGTCCCTTACACCAGTAGTGTGAGTTGATTTGGAGAACAGGGCTGAAATACTCTAATGGGAAAATGTGTTCTTTTATAATAGTTATGTTCAATTTAACAACATAGATGTTGTGAAAGGTTAGAAAAGACATTAAAATATAATTTACACTAATAGAAGTCGTTAGCTTGCATTAGCTCACTTATTCAAAACAAACAAGAAAAATGTAATTAATCAAACCAGAGTATATACCCAGTATAACACACTGAAGTGTAAATGCTCATATGAACATTGTTTAGCAGTTTATAAATTCAGGAAAATGTCTAATTATGCGATCATGATAAACCTGATTATTTTGAAAATGGCTTCTGATAGTAACTGTTGTCATGTGTATGCCAGAACTGATAGGAAAAATTATTTCTAATCGGTAGATCTGTACAGAATTTGATCTCTATGTGTTTAGTAGTTAAAAATCTGAACTGATAAAGAGTAGTTGGCTAGTCATGTTACTTAAGCTGCTCCCAAAATAGCACCTTCCTTTTTGGGTAGAGTTAGGTTTGCAGCTGTTGTCTCTATCTGTTGTCTCTGAAGAAAATTTTAACATTAAGTGTTGCTGACGTCAATTTTTTTCTTTTTTTTACAGCTGATGTGGGCTTTGCCCCTGACAGAAGTTATTTGGTTCTAGCTCTGAGTTTGGAAGAAGTTGGTATATAGATTTTCCCCTAACTTTCAATTGATGTGTTTAGCTTTAGTGGGAGTAATACTATCACTTAAACCATGTTGTCGTCTCAAGGAGTTTTGCTACATCCCTATGGAGTGCCAATGATTCTGCCTGCAGCACCATACTTCGCTGGACTTGTTCAGGTAATGCAAGGCCGCTTCCAACAAGCAACTTAACTCTAGTGCACTTAGAGCAATAATTGGAATTTTTATGGTTGAGAAAGCAAACACTTTTAATACAGGCAAAAGCTCTCATGTAGTCAGTGAGAAGACAGTAGGAAATCAAAAAGATGGATCACCCTAATCTGTGTATTGACATCTCTCATGGCTGAATAAATGGTGTAGTTGAGCTATATTTGCTTGTATTGATTTGTCTGCTGTTTAACATTCATGTCTTTGCTTCACGAGGTTGACCACAGGGCAGAGGATTTGCTATCCATTCTAGGTTTCTGAGGGAGTCAGCATTCCCACGGCAGGTCAGAAGACAAAGTAACTTACCATGATGTGTTTAGGTTAAGTGTTTTAGCACAGCAAATAGGAATAGTGTTAAATATGCATTAATTCATATGTTACGTGTCCCGTGGAATGAAAAAAGGGGTTGTGGTTTTGTGTGTATAGAAATATATCACCTGCAAAGAATATTTATACACATCCTATTAATTCCTTTGAGCCCTCAAATGTAAGATCTTGCTGCAGGGCAAGAGTTCTGTATATTTAGGAGTCAGCTGGCAGCTACCAGGTTGTCGTTGTTGTGTTTGCTTTTGCTATTATTTTATTTTTATCAAAAAGTGGTGCTACTGAACTTTCTTCTGTTAGACTTGGGATTCTGAATAGATGGTGTAGATGCTAATTAAGCAATAAGTATCCTGTTTACAGTATTAGAAGACATCAGGAAAAGTCAACATTTATAAATTCTGATGGAGTTGTACCATCTGAGTGGCTGCTGTTGGATATTGTGCATTGACAGGGTCAAGACACAAACGTGTGTTAGGGCATTTCTGTGCTGTGCTAGGGATAAGTGAATTTAACCGTGAGGGAAAGGGAAACCTTCATTGTGCTCCTTTTCTCCAGCACTTTGCTGCCTTAGAGGGGCAATCACAGCATGAAACAGGTGGGTTTCCATATAGGTCCCTCCAGTAATAGAAGACTGTGGGTTGTGTTCTTCACTTCAGACTTAATATCAGACACATATGTCTAAAATAGAAATATAGCATTGCACAGTGGCCGTTAATCAGGTATTGGGAATCTGTGTCTTGTGGGATGTGTGAGCTGGGGCTGCTTTCCATGCAGTGAGACACATCCAGCAGGCCCTCATATCCATTAGAATTTGGGGGTGAAGGTCGGACTCTGGAGCTCACTCAGACCCTCTGCCATCCTGTCCAATAAATAATTACAAGCAAATCGTGCCTTTCACTCTATGCTGATTGATGTTGAAATTGCTTTTGAAAGTTCTCATAAGTTCCTGTTATAGATTAAGTGCCGGTGTAGGAAAAATAACTGCACCCAACTGAAATGGGTGAATGTAATCAGGTTTAATGGACTCGAGAGCTTGTTGGGAATTAAATAACTATTGATTTGTTGGAAAGTTGCTGTCATTACAAAATGCCACTCTGGGCGCATTATCCAAGCAGTTAGATTAGAAGAAAGGGCCCTTTGAAAATTTGGGATGCCTGATTTCAATCTTTTTCCTCCTTATTCTCTCCTTAGAAAGATATATCCAGGCCTTTGTTACTCTTTTATCATGGATCTGAAATAGTCAAGAACTGCTGAAATAAAAAATAGGTATTAGAGATGCAGTTGAACAGTATTCTTCATATGAATACTTCTCTAGTTTCTTGTCTTTCCCTGATAGCAGACCTGAACATGGTATTTTGGAAATCAAGCACACATCTGAGTTATTGTCCTAATGAGTGAGTTGCAGCATTAAATGGTTTGAGCAGTTTGTCCCCCAGGATTTTGCCTGCACTTACAGTATCTCTGGTCAGCTTATGACACCAGAATGCTTATTGTTTTTCTCTTAAAGTAAATCTAAGTATCTAAAATAAATAATGCAAAGGACATTTGATAGGAATATTTATATCATCCTCTTCTAAGCAGTAATTATGTAACATTCTGAACTTTAATGGAATTTTTCCTTCAGAAATATGCTTTTATAAACTGATTATGTAAATGCTTGGCTTTTTTTTTTTTTTCTGGGTTGCAGGTTGAGAACCACAACCCTGAACTATTTTTGAATATGAGGCAGTTTTAACATTTTATAGGCTTATAAGATGCCAGTTTATTTATTTGCATGGATTGCTACAGAAAGTCGGTCTACCTGTGATCAGGGATTCCCCATGATTTCCAACTGGGTTTATTCCAAGGCTGTGTATGAAAGAAGTGTGTAGAGATCTGGGGGCTGATTTGGGAGGTTTTTTGTGCTTTGTGTTGCACAGTTGAGCAAGAGAGATCTCTGTGGAGCAGGGTTTGTCTTCAGAGGTCCTGCACCTTCATGTGCTGTTTATGATTTTACTTAATGGATGAGCAGCTGCTCCAGCCTCTCCTAAATTCATCAGTAAACCCTGCCCTGCATCCTCTGCTTGCTTCTGCCACACCCTCTTTTTAGGGAGCAGTGCAATGTGTGAATACCAAAAAAAAGGGCTGGATTCTGTGGGTACAACTCTGAGCATGCCTTACATGAGCAGCCATGTGCATTTTCCTAATTGCATGTATTCTATTGAGGAGATGTGTATTGCTTTTACTGAGATGATGTGTTTGAATAAGATGATGGAAAGTGAAATGTTTTTGTTCTTGGACAAACAAGGTCCAGGGTTACAGAGATGTTGATGTGTATCAAATTCCTTTAAATATACATGCAAACTTATTTTCCAGTAAATAAACATACCTTAAACTTATTAGAATGATAGCCTATGACTTAGTAATGCATTTTTAAATGACAAAATATCTTTTTGCCTCTTCCTTCCTTCTCCTGGGTAAAACTATTTGAGAAAAAAAAAAAAAAAAAGATCACATGAAAGTCCAAATAATGCATAAATAGCTCAGTGCCTCCTGTGGCTGGGGAGATATTTTCTGCCTTGGCACAAGGAGCCCACTGGTGGCTTCAGGGCTGTCACAGGAGCCAGGCAGGGAGTGTGTGTGCTGAGGGCAGCCAGGCCCACCTTGTGTCCAAGCTGCCCTGCTGCTCCTCCTGGCAAGGGAAATGACAGAAATGCCACCTAGGACTAAGTGTCAGTCCAGTAAGAGGTTTCTCCTCCTGCCCTTGGTCCCCATCCCGGTTGAGTCATTTGATTCCCAAGGGGGAGCCCGTATGTCCGGATGGGAGCACTCGGGGGTGCTGATGGCAGAGCTCCCTCTGCCCTGGCCAGGCTGTGCAGGGAGGATGAGTGTGCTCCTGTGCCCTCTCACAGTTCCTGGAATAGATGTGAAACCAAGCTCCACTCATCATTAAATTACGAAGCTTGTTTTAAGGCTGCGCTGTCCACAATGCAGAGAATACTCTTATTTTTTTAAAAATTATCTGAGAGATCATATCAGCTCCATCCTCTAAATATCAAATGTTTGCAGTTGCTCTGGTTACTTGGAATGCTAGATTTATGATAAAATATTTTGAAAGCACATGTGCAATATATGACATTTTAATAATGGATACTAAATTATTTATTACGTGGCTGAGTTAGGTAACTCCATTTCTGTTTAGCAGAGAAAGAGGAGTTCATAGGCATTATTATAAAAGTTATTAAAGTTGAAATTGCTTAGACTTTTCAGTAAACTACTGCAAGGATCTGGAAAGAGAGACAGTTCTATTTAATAGAAAAGGTGTAACTTATATATAAAATATTTTAAAGATGGGATTATTTATGAATATGGACAATATTTTTTTAAAATATGCTTCTATTTTGACATAGCGACCAGAAAAGTTTTAAGAATTCTGAGGATTTAAGCTTGTGTTCATTGTTAAAAAAGTAAATTTTAAAAACTAAGCTAAGCTAAAACCTTCTCTTTTTTTGCTTTTATTTGCTTACTTATTTATGAAGTGATAAAGGGGCAAGTTGGAGAAGAAAAATTGAAAATCAACTGGTGATTAAATAATTCAATATATTAGGAATTACTGTACTTTTAAGTACATTAACTTTAAGCTTAGATCATTCTGAAGATATTTGGATTTTTTAAATATTTTTTCTGTGTATCTGATTTTCCAGAACTGGTTAACCAGTGTGCTTGACTGACAACTGTAAAAGTGGTAATCTGGAGACTGTTCCATTTTATTTTAGGGCTGAGAGAATTGCCTAGAATATGCTGTGAAAAGTAGTGGTGCAGACTTCATCACGGTGCCATCGCTTTACCCATCTGGAAAATCCTTGTTTTAGTGCTGTTTTTGGGAAGTGCTAGCAGTGGGTACATTCTGAATTCTTGTAGGTGTTAGTGTGTTAAGCTACCTGCAAAATCACACTGGCATTCTGGCAATCCAGTCTTGGGGAATGCTATGGATTTGTTGTGTCACTTTACACGAAAAAGGCTTTTGTAATTTGGTAGGTTTTATTTGAATAATACATTTGAAATAGCAATGAGGAGAGGTTTGAGTTCTTCCAGTGTTGCCTGCAGTGGTGGATGGCTGTTTCTGTTGGTTTTACATTACGATCTAGTGGAAAGCAGAGCTTAATTTCTGTTTACATTGGCTGAATTGCCTCTTTGAAATGCAGTAAGGAGATGATTTAGCTTAAATGCAGATTTATTCTGGCTTGATTGTGTTGTTCTGCCTCTCCTGTTCCTAGTACTGTGCTCCCAGTGCTTTGTGAGTGAAGGATGAATTTGTTTTACTCATGCAATCCTATTCATCTGAGTGCATCTTGTCTTGCTTTTGAGAGACTATATCTAACAGTTCTTCTCTCAGTCTGAGAGTTGCAAAGCTTTTCTCCCTTTTGTATCAAAAGTGCTTTTAGCACATGTGAAGTGGTGGTGTTAATGGTGAATATGGTCTTTATTGTTTTGATAGCTGAAGATTTTTGTAAACAATGTTTAAAAGTCTGGAAATCATAGAATTATAGAACTGTTTCTTGGAAAAGACCTTTAGGATTATCAAGTCTGACTGTTAACCCAGCACTGCCAAGTCCAACATTAATCCACGTCCTTAAGTGCCACATCTA